TTCGTAAACCGTCCAGCAATTGGCCTGCACGTATGAAAAAATCGTATAGAAAGTTTCTATACGATTTGCGTATAGAATTTCTATAGGTTTTTCGTATATGATATTCGGATATTTGTATACAAAAATTCCCTATACGGATTATTTCTATACGAATTCGTGTAGAAATTCGTATAGAAATGAACCGTATAGGAAATTTTCGTATAGAAATATCCGAATATCATATACGAAAAACCTATAGAAATGTTATACACAGTCCATATAGAAAGATTCTATACGATTTTTTCCTACGTGTGGTCACCCTAGTCTTCGTGCAATATACTCACCCTGTGAATATTCCCTGAAATCGATCACATGCCATAAAAATATTCCTCCAGTCACAAAAAGCAAAGAAAATTGTCATAATAACGGAATGAATGATACGGTGAAAAGCTACTCGATTAATCGAGCCATCATTTATTACTACTTGAATGGAAGCGGTAGATAATATTGGGGGAGTTCTAAAGTGACGATGAAAATACTTGAGATGGAAGAGGGCTTTCATTTCTTCCTCAATTTTTTTATTTCCCCAGCACTCCTTACTCTCCATCTCGCGTTTTCAGTTCCTTTCAGCACCGCAACCCCTCATCCCGCTATCTCTCTTCGTACTCCAGATCGGCTGTCCTCAACTTTTTCTCCCTTTATCTCTGCCATCATTCCACATAGGGAGAATCTCTGTGCAGAGACAGTGGGTGGTTTCCACAGTTCGTACGGCGATTTGCTTCCAGCGACAAGCGACTGTCCTCGAGTTTCATATCATTCTCCGCTGTTTTTATGCTTTTGATTTCATTTCCATTGGTTCGCTCGGACTTTATGAGGAGTTCTCGTTTATGATGATTGAATTTGTAGAGATATGAGTCCATTTCAGAATCGTATACTGAAATAAAAAAGGTTTTTTGAGAAATTTGCACCCAAAAAAAACAAGTTTCAATTTGAGATTTGTGATCTCAAAATCAGACTTATGGAAGTCTTGATTTGGGACTTGAAAATCTCAATTTAAGCCCTCTGGAAGTCTCCAGTTGAGATTTTAAAGCCTGAAGTTGGGGTATATAAATACGTTTTTCATAGATAATGTTTATAATAGTCCCCAACTATTGGAAAAAATTCTAACTAGCTGTCCTACACAGTTTAGAAGATGATAAATAATGAAATCCGGGCTTGGAACATGCGAGGCATCGAGCCTCCACAAACTCGATTTTTCCATCCCATGAGAAAACGGTTTTTCCGATACTTTTAAAAAACTAATCCGTGATAGGTTGATAAATTCCGAGTACGGTGAATTTTTTGTAAAATTTTGTACTCAGTTTCTGCGATATTCAACTCTAAAAATTTCTTGAAAGCATTTCTTACTTGATTCCAACAATTAATTAACAAACAATTTTTTATTTGATTCAAACAGTTATTGTGGCCAGCATCAACAGCATATGAGATTATAAAAACTCAATAACTTATGAGAATGCAATAAATTAAGTCATTTGGAATCCTTTCCGGAATGCAATTTTTCAATTATTTGATGAAAGTTTTCTAGAAAATAAAACCGTTCATTTCTTTTCTTTCAAATTTTATAAGTGATTTCTTACGTCAAATTGGAGAATTAGATTAAATCTCCACAGTTTGAATAATTAAAATTCTGTGAAAACTATTTTTAATGAACTTTAATAAATTACTCATCCGTCTTATAAATGAATGATGTTAGTTGTTTGAAACTTTCAAAAAGCTCTTTTTCGCAAAGGGATCGATTCTTGGTGAAATTCAGAATATGCAACATTGATTATTTAAAATTAATCCTGAGAGAAGTTTATTTTATGAAACGTAAAAAAAGAATTTCGATCATTTCGTATCTTTCAAATGTTTAAAATAGTTCCAGACGTCAAAATCGAAAATTAGTCTAGTCCTCCAGAAGTTGAATAATTAAACTCAATGCACCGAATCGACATGAAAATTCTCATAAGAATTCTGTGAAAATAATGCCAAATATTTTTCAATCAACTTTAATAAATTCCTCGTCCTTAACGACTAAAAAATCCCTTCATCGAATAATCGTATGTTTATCGCCCCAAACTCTGGCTAAAAACACCAGAAAAATTATCAGAAAAATATAAAAAGCGAGCAAGAATAAATATCGATAACAAATAAAATACAAGAGAGCCCAAGAGGGGAAAGCGAGCCGAAAAGCAAAATAAAAAACACCGTGGGAAAATCATAAATCGAGCGCCATTGCCAATAAAGAGCCAATACGAGTGATATTTTTTTCAAAGCCCAAGCATCTTTCCGTATCATACACGTTATTTATTTTTTCTCCCATTCGAAAACTATATGTACCTCACTCCCTCACCCTCTCGCCCCCAATCATTTGTTATTCACGTGTACAGTTCTATTCGCATTGCAGTCTTTCCCGTCTATGTATTCTTTCCTTTTCATTGGATCTTTCCATTTGACAAAGTCGATACCGTCTTTCATTTTATATTGAAACGGATTCCAATTCGAACGTTGCAATCATCATCACAATTGTGATTGAATTTAGGAAAAAAATTGAGAAAAGTTTTTCATGAGAATTTCTTCAGTGTCAGCTGAAAAAAGGTCCGCTTACTTTCAGCAAAAAGTCTTCCCTCGGATGATTCTATTGAACAACTGATTTCCGGAAAAAATATTGGGGGATTTTCGTTATGAGAAATATTTCTAGTTGTGAAAACGATTTTATGAATTTGTAGCTTTTTTAAATTTAAGGATATTCAAGTATCTTTTGAAGTTTAGTACAGAGGAGAAACTATCGGTTCAACCAATTTCAATCATCAAATTTGTCAATTAAAGTCTCCAAAACAAATTTTAAAAAATCCTGAATATTCTGCGTTATTCAAATTACACAGAATTTTGCATAGAGTTATTATTGTTTTAAATTTTAGTTGTTTATGAATAAGAAATTGGAATTGTATAAACTTTCGGAAACCTTATTTTTTTAGGCACTTGTTTTATATAAGAACTAATTTTACCCTAAACACTGCAATCATCAATGGGTTACACACACGTGGGACAAATCAACACACCACCCATCCTCCCCCCCCCGCCCTTTCATCCTATAATTCAATTCTTAACTAATGAAGAGTTTCGTTAAATCAATTGAAAATTTGTTTATATTTTTTAAAAACTATTCCTTCAAAGCAAATGAAAAACGCAGGTAAAATGAAAATACATGTTCGAAAAAACGCTTCATAGCGAATTTATTTAAAAAATAATTCAATTCAAATAAACCACTTCCTTTCTTACAAATGAGTCCCATATCATCTCCTTCTAAACTCCTTTAGTCCCAAAAAAAATTCACAAATTAACGGAGACCTCACGCCTGACTAAACTCGCTGTACCACCCCTGCGGAATCAATTCTGATTTGTGGCAAAATACAGTTGTTTTGTATTAGAAACAATTTTACCTCAAACACTGCAATCATTAATGGGTCACGCACATGTGGGACAAACCAACATACAACCCACCCTCCCCCCTCGCCGTTTCACCCTATTATTCAATTCCTAACTAATAAAGTCTTTATTTAAATCAATTAAAAATTCATTTATATTAAAAACAAAATATTCATTGAATGCAAATAGAAACGCTAGTAAAAATGAAATCCACGTTTGAATAAACGCTTCATAATAAATTTATTTTAAAAAATAATTCAATTCAAATGAACCACGTTCTCTCCCCCAAAAAGGTCTCACATCACCTCCTCCTTTATTCCCAAAAAAAAATCCCAAATTAACAGAGACCTCACGCCTGACTGAAATCGCTGTAGCACTCCTGGCGAATCAATTCCGATTTGTCGCAAAATGTACTCCCACTTGTTTCATATTAGAACCAATCTTACGCTTCATAACAAATTTATTTAAAAAAATAATTCAATTCAAATAAACCACTTTCTCTCCCACAAAAAGGTCTCACATCACCTCCTCCTTCATTCCCAAAAAAAATCCCAAATTAACAGAGACCTCACGCCTGACTGAAACCGCTGTAACACTCCTGCCGAATCAATTCCGATTTGTCGCAAAATGTACTCCCACTTGTTTTATATTAGAACCAATCTTATACTTCATAACAAATTTATTTTAAAAAATACTTCAATTCAAGTAAACCACTTTCTCTCCCCTAAAAAGGTCTCACATCACCTCCTCCTTTATTCCCAAAAAAAAATCCCAAATTAACAGAGACCTCACGCCTGACTGAAATCGCTGTAGCACTCCTGGCGAATCAATTCCGATTTGTCGCAAAATGCACTCCCACTTGTTTTATATTAGAACCAATCTTACCCCAAATACTGCAATCATCAATGGTTCACATACACGTGGGACAAACCAACACAGAACCCTCTCCCCCTCCCCTTCCGCCCCTCGCTTCACCCTTTCTCGCTTACTCTCTTTGCCCCTAATACCCGGCCTCATCTACCACTTCGCCGGTCGTTTCACAGATGTCGCTGTCCTTTTCCCGCTCGTACAGTTTATCCTCATACCTCGTATATACACGTATAAATACACGAGGAGAACAGGAAAAGTTTCGTCCTCCGCATCAACCCCTCGGCTCCATTTACTCATAAAATCGTTGCAATCTGTTATTAAAAAATTTCTCCCCGATTCTATTAACAATTTTACATTTTCTCGTGGTGCTGCGGGTCGTACGGAGTGGACGCGAGCCCCTGGGAATAATAAAATGATCTGCACAGTGGGTCGAATGTTTTTAAGGTTACGGCACAATTGGGCAATCGTGGGGGATGCCGCGTTGCGCAGCCAGCCGTGGCTACACCCTCGAGCGCGAGTCTCACCGAGTCTCAGTCGTCCGCGCACCTTCTAACGGTGAGGGTGAATAATCAAGCCCCTCTGCAAGCTCCATTCACGTTTTTGACAGTGACAGGCGATACCGGGAGCAGAGGTACGACGGGACCTTCTGATTTTACGGTGTGACAGGGACTGAAATAATTTTTTTTCACGGAATTGGCACGTGGGTCGAAGTGCGAGGCCAGTGGAGTTGCTGTGGCCAGGTAAGAGGACTGTTGTTTATTATGTGGGGATGGGGTCGGGGTAATTATGCGGTTTCAGGGGTGTTAGAGGGTAATTAATAGATGAAGTGAGGGGGTTTAGTGAATTACGGGTCAGAGGATTTTGTCATTACGTCATTTTTTGTTCTTTTGGGGAAAAATATTGGACAGTTTTCACGATATTTATTTACTTTTTAACGATTATCTACAGAGAAAGTGTTTTTTGTCGTGTTTTTTCATTTTTTTAATTCATTTGTTGGAATTTGTTTTTTGAGGGAAATTAGTGGTCGATGGAAAATCATGGCGAATTGAAATTTTTCAATTACGGACGACCACGTGACTTCGACATAACCAAGTGCATCTCCTCTCGATAATTGCCTGTCCATTACAAGAATTGATTTCCTTAATTTACATCGATCAATCTTCTTTTTTCCCCATTTCAATGACCATGCACTTGACATGGGATAGAATTAAATGTGAAAAAAGGCCGCCGAGGGGTGGATTAGGGAGGAAAGAAGTGGGAGGAGGGGAGAACGTGGATTTGATGCGTCTTAGGAGAGCGATCTACGTTTTATCCTCGGGTGCTTCGGGAGACTGCAGAATGAATGCAATAAAAAGTGCCACTGGCATCGTAAAATTCGTCGCTCAGCACCGGCAACAACGCGCCACCAATTTTTACTTTATTTTTTTCCCTCTGGCATTCGGCGAACGGAGTTTGCACGTTTTCACCTGATGGTGAACTGCTTCACACACTTGCAGATTTTTAGAGCCGCACGTGCCTGTTTTGTCGTGGGAAATTCTATTTGTTGGTTTTATTAATTGGGGAGGTTCTTCTTCATTGAGACAAACACTGAGAGAATGAACCACTTTTGACAGAGAAGGTTTACTTTATATGAGAAAATATCCTCTTGTCAATTTTAAAAATTGGAAATTTTCTAGAATTTCCAGGATAGAGACACGGAATGCGATTCAGGGGGAAAAAATCATGAAATTTCAGGTTTCACTGACAATTTAATGTAATTTGACACTGAATATTCATATTAGATGGAAAATTTAAATAAATTAATTATGTTATTAAAATTAAAAAATTATTAAACTTAATTTATGCCGCTTAAAATCCTGAAATTTCACTGAATTTTCAGTCAAACCTGAAATTTCATGATTTTTTTCCCCTAAATCGCATTCAGTATCACTGTCTTCAAAATTACTAGTCAACTATCCACGAAATTTCATTTTTTTTCTATCAATTTATCTCCGAATCTGTGATTTTATTATTCAACGATTTTATTATTTAAACTTTACAGGTCTGAATTTGAATCTCGATATTGAACCGTTAGAAAACATTTTAAAAATTTGGGAAAAAATTAGAGCGTTTATTTTTGTAGATAGATTGATGAAATAATTTAAAAATTGCAATTTTGGAAAATTACGAGCATTTTCTATAAATATCTTCTACAGAATCATGAAAAATTTATTCAAATTCAGAATTTTACTTGAAATCGATTTCATGCCTAAAAAAATTAGGTTTCCGAAAGTTTCAACAATTCCAATTATTTATTTATAAGCAACAAATGTTTAAAAAAATGATAATTCTACTCAAAATGTAATTTTAATGACGCTGAACATTCATAATTAAAAAAGAAAATTCTCACGCAATTTAATTGACAAATTTGATTATTAAAAATGGTTGAATGTAATAATTGGATGAAATGAATTCAATAACCTATTTTTGAGAGTAGTAGTCCCTCGGAAAATGAAAACTTATTGCTCCGTGTAAATGATCACAGACATTGTTAATTCTAAAAAGTAAAGATAAAAAGCTCTTGATTCATGTTTACTCGTGCGAATCGATGGGAGCCAATACCTCCGAATATTGCTTTGGCTTTCATGAGCATAACACTTCAAAAAGGAGTCTGGTGGCCTCCTTCATATTCATTTGGCCCCCTTTTCTATCCCTCACGAAGCCATTCCACGTCCAGTTGCACCTGGAAAAAGTTTTTCGTTGTGGACCAGAGGGCAAAGTGCCCGAGCCATTCTCAACTATCCTCATCTTTCTCTCTCTCTCTCTCTCTCTCACCGTAAAAGTGGCCTCTCAACCATTTTCAACTCCCCCACACCTCTCATTGAAAAGGTAAACGCACTATTCCTCTGTGCTGTGTTCACTGGCTGTTGGTGGTTTCAACCCACGGACGTTTTACCATGGTCTCGAGTTTCACTGACAGAGCAATTTGCATCCTTCTGGTTTTGGCGTGGTAATACTTATGCTCGTTTAGGATAAACTTACGGCGAGGGGAGCTGGAGGATTAATGTTTCGGCTTTTAACGGGGATTTATCATTTTTTAGGGGTTTGTGGGTGGAGTGCGGTGGCTTATTCACTTGAGCGGGAGGTTCGGGTGGAAATTGACAATGGGAAGATCGAAATTTTTGCACTCTACACTGAGAAAAAAAATTATTTTTGCCAAATATCTATTTACTTGAAAGAATTATTTATTTTATCAATATCATATTTCTCCTGTCGAGTCGTTCCCGGACAATGCTCATTAGGCTTCAATTATGACAATTATATTGCTCTAGAAGATGATCATGTTAGCTATGATCTTGAGTGAACTCCCCCAATAATTATCAACATTAAAAAATTAACCAAAATTCTTTTCCCTAGAAACTAAAAAATTTATGAAAAATGAATAATTATTGAAGGAGTTCATCCAAGGTCAGGCACAGCATAGTCTTCCGCTAAAGCAACATGATTGTCATAATTGAAACCTAATGAGGCTCGTCTGAGAATGACTCGGATGGAGAAATTCGACTTTGAAAAAATAAATACTTCTCTCCAGAAAATGGATATTGAGCAAAAATAATTTTTTTTCTCAGTGTAAATCATTTAATCCTAGTAAACTGGTCCTCAAATCAATACACAGAGAAAAAGTTTCCAGTTTCCCGGGAAAATTCCATAGTTTCTAGGAAATAAGTCAAATTTGTTTTCCGTAGGAAGATTTTCTCCAACAACGGACGAAAAAGTTCTGGTTTTCATCACGCTGTGACGAAAAGTGAACTTTTCGGCACGCTCCGCGTGCCTAAAAGTCCAATTTCCGCCACATTGTGATGAAAAATATTGTTCGTAACTCGTGAAAAAATGTTTTTTAGCTCGTGGGATTATATCACTCGCCTTCGGCTCGTGATATAAACTTCCCATTCGCCAAAAAACACTTTTTTGCAGTCGTTACGAAATATACTATTTCAGTCGTTTGAATTCAAATCTAGTATTATTGTACTCGAATTGAGGCACGTGCGTTTTGTCACTTCATTTTTCCTAAAGCTTTTTTCCGTGCATTTAAAAAAATAGTTGAATGATAAGTAGATTCATTTTTAAAAACATTAATTTAAAAACAAGAATGTTCTTGCACATTGCATTACTCGTAATGGCTGCTTTCTGGAAAGAAATTAAAGTTATCGTTAACGATAAAGAGCAAAATGTTGGAGCAACAGAAACACAGAGATTTTTCCTCTGGAATTGAGTTTCTTATTGTTATGAATTTCTTAACTCTACACTAAGAGAAAAAATTATTTTTGACAAAAGATGATTTCCTGAGTCCTATTTTACTAAAGATGAAAGAAACGTGAAGTTGTTTTATATCGAAATATCTCGAAACTGCCTGACCGCTAATCCTTAATTCTGATTGGTCAATATGTGACACGAAGTTATTCACAAAAAAAAACACGCGGCATTTTCAAATTCTTCAGTGGTAAATTTTTTTTCACGTCATATATTCCACATGTATATATATTATCGGTGAAATTAATAAATTCTGTCCTTTTATGGAGACCGATTATTAAAAAAAATTGAAGATAATTAATTGAAAATGAAAAATTATTTATAGATTCTTTTACTGTACTTCGCTATTTACTTCAATCATTAGTCGAATTCTCTTTGATTCATTATCAATATTTATAAGGTATTCATGAGAAAATGAAATTTAATGAATTCCATTTCTTCATTTCAACAAATGAATAGATCAGCGCGCGCGAAAGCGCGCGCATAGATCTTGTACAGGAAAATATTCGCTTGTCAATTTTTAGAACCGTGAAATCTCTCGGTAAATAATTTTGTGCTCACACTGAGAGAAAGAAGTGCTTCAACACGATGAGATTCTCTTGTCCCGAGAAAATTTTTAAGTATTAGCATAAGTCTTCCCATAAATTCATATAGCTTGCGTTATATCTAGAATTCAATGGATTGTGCGAATTCCCACTTTTTCGCTCTGATCACTCATCATCTCCAACTGAGGAATTCTTGTTTCGATTGCACAACGAACACTTTCATTATCAATTCAACTCTATAGAAAATTGATTTCAAGTGTTGTGCTCTTGTGCAAGATTTTATGTAATCAAAATCCTGATAAAAAAAATTCTAGATATAACGCGAACTATATGAATTCATGGGAAGGACATCATTTCTAGTCTTGAAAACGCTAAAAAATTCTCTCGGGACAAGAGAATCGGATCCTGGTGGGAAACCAGTCCCGGGTTTTTCTCTCATTCCCAGAACGAAATTATTTATGAGGAGAATTTACGATTTTTAAAATTGACAAGAGAATATTTTCTTGTATCAAGTAAACCTTCTTTATCAAAGTAGTTTTTTTCTCTAAGTTTAAATTGTTCGCCATGCGATGGAATCACCACAAAGATCATTGTCATTTTTTAATAGCTAGGGGAGAGTGGGGTAAAACGGCCCCTTTTGATTTTTTCTAAAATGTCAACAGCTCATTCAGTTTTAAATAAAATGGAATAATTTTTTTTTGCCATGGAAACTATACTTCTTCCCCTTTAGAGTGATTCTGGACTGATCTCAATTAATGCATTTGTTTCTGAGTTATGAGTATCACAAAAAAATTCAAAAGTGGCCGTTTTACCTCACTCTCCCTTATTGAACGACAGAATAGAAAATTTTGACGAAAATCAATTGTATTGGTGAAAAATATCAAGAAAGTTAGAAATTTTCATTT